ATTTATCTGTGATTCACCTCTTTGAAATACCTCATCGTTGTTACACATTTATCATAGCCAAAAAAAAAAAAAAAAAAAGAAAAGAAAAGAAAAGCTTTTTATTAACAAAGTGTTCAGAAGGGGGCGCCACTGACAACAATGAGAGTTTTTGCTGCCAGGACAATTTGGTTGCAGAAACAGCTGAAAGCAGTTAGGTCAGACAGAGCCAAGGGCTGAAGGGATTTTTAAAATTATAAAAACCAAACCAAATCAAACCAAAACAAAAATCAAAACCAATGGCCAAGATTTCAAGTTTGCCACTAAAGGTATGACATGCTCCTAAGACATGCGAGTCACTTGATCAATATATTTATATATTTATATTTGAAGAAGAAGGAACTATTTGATGCAGCAAATCCACATTGATTAAAAATAACTAGGTATGAAATACATCGAGGGTACGGGAAGGAAAATGCTTTCACCTGATCTGACTAGGAAGTGGTTGAAGCCTGAATTAAAGTGATATAAAAAAGAGTAAAGACCTGGGAAATATATGGGGAAAAAATCCCTAGAAAAACAGCAATAATAACCGGCTGCTATTTATTGATCCAGACCCTGTGGTAGGCAAAGAAGAGTTGGTTTTAGCCAGAGGATGATCTCCATTTGTCTTCATGATCCGGCATTTCCTGCAAGCCAGGCATGGGGCTCTGCACTAGAACTGCAAATGCTCGGGGGCCCTCACTGCCCCTTTTCTCTTCTCAGGGGGACAACGGGCATGTCCGTGGTACAGTGTGACAGGCTTTACCACAGGGAGATAAAAGACTGCCAAGGGTAGGTTGGAGCTGGGAAAAGCCACTTAGGAACAGATTTTCAGGGGAGGTGATACACAAAGGCAAAGCAGAAGAATGAGGATGAATGTGTCAAGTTTCAAAGTGCCAGGAGGCAGCACAGTGCATTTGGGAAACTACAGCAAGTTCATGACAACTGACAACTGATCTGGCAGCATCACCTGGGGATGGAGGCTGAGCCCCGGGGTTAACATTGGGGGTGAGATGGTTTGTATACTATGCTGAGGAGGTGAGATACTACACTGTGGGGGCACAGGGAGCCACTGGAGGATTTAAAATAGCAGAATCGTAACCATAATAGAGTATTTAATTGCATCCTAGCTTTCATCAAGGGTAAGATGCACTATAGTTTATGTTTGACTAAGAAAGAGAAATGCTGTCAGTTAAACTAGGATATGTCAAGTGCAAGGTGAGTGCCACCTTAAGAGATATTAAAATTGGGGGGAGGACAAATCTTAGAACAAGTAAATTGTGGTACTAGAATAATTAAGAAAGGTCGAACACTTGGATCAACAAAAAAAGTGATTATTGCTTACCACGTGCCCCAAACTATCTTAAGTCTTAGAACAAGAGACGTTCTCGTCTTGACGCCCCGAAGCAGTTAGACCCAAGGTACAGAGGGCAGTAGCCAACTACCAGCAGGCACCAAGTGCCATGTGCAGACTCTAAGAGCAACTGCCTTTGAGAGAGGAAACGGTTGAGAGTGGGCTTTCTGAGGTAGAGAATTACTAGCTGGGAAAGGAGGAAAATCGACACAGAATCGGAGTTGATGCCACTACGTGACAGAGTTGGTGAAACTTCCCTTCTCAGAGATCTTGAGGCTCCTCAGAAATGTATTTTTCATTTTGGACAGAACATTCAGGATAAATATGATCTGTTTGAGTTCCTGGTTCTCTCATCAGGAATGTTTCTTAGGCTTCACTGGCACAAGAAAAGGTTTTGATAGTTCAGGGTAAGTCCTGACAAAAGCAAAGCATGGTATCTATGACAAACTAACCACTCAGAAGAGAACAAAAGATAAAAAGTCAGGCTGACCTGACCCTGCAGGATAGGTAAGGTTGGTCTGGCAACAGGGGCAGATGAGAAGTGCCCATCTCCTGCTAGAAGAGCTAGAGAAGACCCCTTCCGGAGATACCACCAGGAGAGGAGAGCAGTAGGTGCTGAGAGTCACTAAGGACTTTGCTTGAAGGACCCGTGCCTGAAGCTGGCACCAGGGAGTTTCGAGGGAGCTGAGCAACCTTTAGCTCTTGAGAACTGGGCTGGAGGGAGAAGTCCTTGAAGGAGGAAGATCCAAAACTTGTGTAGGGGCTACAAGAAAAGCAGCTGGGACAGTGGTGAAACCTGGCATCTTACAGTAAGGAATTCTTTCCCTGTTTGAAGCTTGACAGACCAGTGAGGAACCATCGCCAGGCATTCCACCTCCAGAATGACCTTGTTATTGTTCCCCATCAAAGGCAGTGAATCTTCTTCCGGAATGAGGAACCATGATGGATTTTTGGTATCACCTGAATAGCTGTTATACTCATTAGCTCACACTCAGTGGGAGACAGCTTCCCCCCCCCCCCCCTTAACAATATGTGTTTTAGTAATACAAAAGTAACCTGAACTTGTAGTGAAAGATTATTGATGTGAAGGACAGGATTCTAAAAAGAAAATAACATCTTAGTGTATTTAATTTTAAAACCATATGGACCATCAATTTTTAAGGGAAGGAGTCTTAACTCTTTTGTTTTCTCCATTTTTCTACCAGAATCAGTAAATGTGTAGTTAGAGTAGTGTCTGAGCAGTCCTCTTCCTATGAATTATTAAATATTAAGCCTAAGAATCGCAATCTAATCGTCCCAGTATGGCGTTTGAAAAATATTGCTACCGTGTGTATGTAAAATTCTGTATAACGCACAAAATTAGATGTTACCAGCCCCAATGCCGAAAATATAGCGAACACTTAAACGGATCATTTCATCAGCAGGCACTAGGTATGAAATCTGGTGCATTGTTTGGAATCCTGATCTGTTGGTTTTATATTATGTTTAAGATAGTATCCAAAAAAAAGCTACCCTTACTTTCTGCTTCCAGCAAAGTTACAGTAATACGGACTCGATTCATTATCTAGCCTGAAATATGCCCCGAAACAGACAAGAGAGATGAAACAATGGCTTTCAAGTAACTCTACACCAAAGAACAATGATCTGAGACAAACAAACAAAAAACCCCAAAACAAAATAAGACAAAAACCCCAAAGCTGGTGAGTCCTAGACTGTTCACGCACCACGTGGAAAAAGTTCTCAGGCCCCTGGAGGCGTGGCTGGTAAGCGCCTGGGAGGTAGGAGGTCAAGGGCGACGGGTAGGAGAAGAGCCCTACTTCTGGGCGCTCCGAGCCGAATCCTGGCCAGGCTGTTGCAGGTGCGGGTCAGAAGGGCTGAGTTCCAAACCTGAGAGGGGGCTCGCGGGAGTGAGGGAGTGCGAGAGAGCTGGAGGGCGGGAAGGGCGGCGGGCCTAGGGGAAGGCGCGCGGCCCGCTCCTGCTCTTGTTTTGGAGACTCACGTGGTCCTGCCTAATTGGCCGCGGTAGAGCCCGAGTCTCCGGGAACGCGGAGGCGTCCTCCGCAGCTGTAGTTCCCGGGTTCTTCCACCTGCCAGCCCCGCCTTCCCGCAGGAGGCTCGCGGCCGCGCGGGGACCACAACTCCCACAAGGCCCCGCGCTCCAATGGAGCGTGGCCGATAAAGGGGCGGGGTCTGAGTGAAGGGGCGGGACCATGATGCAGGGACCTTGGGGCTCAGCGTCCCCGTGCGGCTTCCTGGAGCTCAGGAGCTTTCTCATCGCTGAATTGGCATCTGGCGGCTGGACTCATTCGAGTCCTGGGACGTCGCCTCCGATCGGCTCTCGACGGGTAGAGTGTAACCAAGTGTTAGCTTAGGAGGCTCAGTGCTAGGGACTGGGTAGCGCTGAAGCTGCTGGTGGTCCTGGGCTTCCGGAGGAGCCTGTCTGAAGAAGTCACAGGTGCTGGTAGGGGAATCCCGCGGCCCAAACCAGCACTTTGAGACTCCGAGCCGGAAGCCAACAATAACTGGGAAAAAGTCCATCCGCGCTGAGGTGCTTTACTTTTGGCTGAGAAGATAAGCAGGAAAGATGACAAACCCATGGGATGTCTGTAGACCTCTGCTGGAACTTTTAGGTCTTCTATAATTCCTTACCTGTCACTCAGAGCTTTTAGCTTTTTCTTCCTTGGGTTGACTTCTTAGAGAATTCCTTAGCTTGATATTCCATCTCTCTGGTTTGGTTTTAAGCAGTGCTCATTCTGCTATTCAGCCCATCTCTTTGAAAGGTTTCTTTTTACTGCGGTTGCTATTTGTATTTCCAAGATCTTGGCTAATTATTTTCATAACTGCCTGCTCTCATTTCATGATAAGATATTCTGGCTGATCCCTATGATTAATTTAATTACATGGATGTTAATGTCTAGCACTTTTTTTTCCCCTTAGGTGCATATTCTCTCTTGAAAGAAAGGATAAAACATATTAAAGCTGTTCTTTTTTTCCGTGGCTTGATTTTTCTGAAACGTTTGTGATTATTGGTTTATGTCTCACTCATTTTTATGTACCTCAAGAGTCACTGTTTTTTACTCTGTTTGCAGGAGGGAGGGGGATGAAGAAGATGAATTGCAGGTTTTGTTTTTTTTTTTTTTCTTTTTAACGAAAATGGGTAGAATCAGGGTTTGTAACCTACTGGTCACCTGGGTACCCCACCCCATTCCTCCAGAGCCTCGATCATCGGGACTTTGCTTGTTTCTTTTACCCAAGCTCCCATACTCTCCAAGCTGGAAGCAAACATCCCATTTTCTACTTCCTGGAAGGCTATACTTTGGTGAAGCTTCAGTTCTAGTCTCTCAGCCAGTTCCCCTTTCATTTTCTTTCTTTCTTTCATTTCTTTAATTTTCATTCTGGCCTCCTCCCTCCAGGTTTGCACCGCCTTTCCTTATGTACAAATGGGGATGGTAAGAAAGAGTGTCTGAGGAGCCCTTCCAATTTTTAAAAAAGATTTTATTTATTTATTTGACAGAGAGAGCACAAGTAGGCAGAGCTTCAGGCAAAGGGAGAGGGATAAGTAGGCTCTCTGCTAAGCAGAGAGCCTGATGATGGACTCGATCCCAGGATCCTGGGATCATGACCTGAGCCAAAGGCAGCCACTCAACCGACTGAACAACCCAGTCACCCCCAAATATTTTTTAGTATCTTCTTTTCAGTACTTCAAGGGGAACCAAACATCTTCACCAGGACTCTCAAAGATGAATGAAAAACCAGTAATAATTTGCTACAAAAATAACAAACATCTATTTTTTGTACTGCATCTAAACAAGTAAATTTTAAAAATTAACATTATGGTAAACATAAGAATTTGCTGGAGGTAATCCTTTGAAAGTTGATGCTTGTATACTTTTATATCTCGGTCAAGCAAGGCACTATAGAATCATGGTGACCATCCATATTCTATATAAAAACTCTCAATTCTGTTAAGAACATGAAACAAGGGGTGCCTGAGTGGCTCAGTTGTTAAACATCTGTCTTAGGCTCAGGATATGATCCCATGGTCCTGGGATTGAGACCCACATCGGGCTCCGTGTTTGGTGGGAAGCCTGCTTCTCCCTCTCACTCTTTCTTCTTCTGTTCCCTCTCTTGCAATGTCTTCTCTGTCAAATATATAAATAAAATCTTTAAAAAAAAAGGACATGAAAGAAATTCTCCAGGGAGAGGGAAGAGAATAAAGTTCAAAATTAGAATAAGTTCAAATTTAAATTTATACAGCAAAAGCTCTTTCTAACTGCCTCTCTTACACATAATTCTACTAAAATAGCAAACCCAATAGAGGACAAAATTGTTTGTTTCAAAATACATAGCCTTGGACTTCTGTTATGTCGATAGAAAATTACCCAGTTGCCTCCATTAATTGGTTAGAATTTTGAGAGGAAGCTTGTGTATAGAAACAGGGATTTTTTTTTTTGATGTTAAAAATTTTTTTTTTTCTTTTCAGCATAACAGTATTCATTGCTTTTGCACCAGACCCAGTGCTCCATGCAATCCGTGCCCTCTCCAATACCCACCACCTGGTTCCCCCAACCTCCCACCCCCCGCCCCTTCAAAACCCTCAGATTGTTTTTCAGAGTCAATAGTCTCTCATGGTTCACCTCCCCTTCCAATTTCCCTCAACTTCCTTCTCTTCTCCATCTCCCTATGTCCTCCATGCTATTTGTTATGCTCCACAAATAAGTGAAACCATAGGACAATTGACTCTCTCTGCTTGACTTATTTCACTCAGCATAATCTCTTCTAGTCCCATCCATGTTGCTACAAAAGTTGGGTATTCATCCTTTCTGATGGAGGCATCATACTCCATAGTGTATATGGACCACATCTTCCTTATCCATTCGTCCGTTGGCGACCGTGGCCATTGCTGCTATAAACATTGGGGTACAGATGGCCCTTCTTTTCACTACATCTGTATCTTTGGGGTAAATACCCAGAAGTGCAATTGCAGGGTCATAGGGAAGCTCTATTTTTTATTTCTTGAGGAATCTCCACACTGTTTTCCAAAGTGGCTACACCAACTTGCATTTCCACCAACAGTGGAAGAGGGTTCCCCTTTCTCCACATCCTCTCCAACACATGTTGTTTCCTGTCTTGCTAATTTTGGCCATTCTAACTGGTGTAAGGTGGTATCTCAATGTGGTTTTGATTTTAATCTCCCTGATGGCTAGTGATGATGAACATTTTTTCATGTGTCTGATAGCCATTTGTATGTCTTCATTGGAGAAGTGTCTGTTCATATCTTCTGCCCATTTTTTTATATGATTGTCTGTTCTGTGTGTGTCGAGTTTGAGGAGTTCTTTATAGATCCTGGATATCAGCCTTTTGTCTGTACTGTCATTTGCAAATATCTTCTCCCATTCCGTGGGTTGCCTCTTTGTTTTGTTGACTCTTTCCTTTGCTGTGCAGAAGCTTTTGATCTTGATGAAGTCTCAAAAGTTCATTTTTGCTTTAGTTTCCTTTGCCTTTGGAGACATATCTTGAAAGAATTTGCTGTGGCTGATATCAAAGAGGTCACTGCCTATGTTCTCCTCTAGGATTCTGATGGATTCCTGTCTCACTTTGAGGTCTTTTATTCATTTTGAGTTTATCTTTGTGTATGGTGTAAGAGAATGGTCGAGTTTCATTCTTCTACATATAGCTGTCCAGTTTTCCCAGCACCATTTATTGAAGAGACTGTCTTTTTTCCACTGTATATTTTTTCCTAGAAACGGGGATTTTTAGCACTGAGAGGCCAACAAACTGGAGGACGCTAACACTGCCTGCAATCTAGCAGCAACTCTCTGAGGTCACACGCTGATTTTGGATGGTTGTCTTTTCCCTCGGGGAGGGCATGTCTGTTCAAAGTGAATGTGTATATTTGAAGAGAGGACCTCAAGACCTCTGGAAGTCTGCATGCCTCATTCACTGGGCAGGGGACTTCCTGCTTCAGGTATTTGCACAAGAGACTCTAGTTAAAGTCCACCTTTAGCTACAAGTCAAAGCCATGATTGTTAAGAACACAGAATAAGGTCCTACGTAGCATACACAATGTGACCAGTAGGCATTAACGGTCACTCAAGGGTTCTGGTACATTGTTATCCTCCAGTAGATTGTAGAGGTAAAAAACATCTGAAAGGTTCCCAGGAAGCGGTGGGTTTTGTTTTGTTTTGTTTTGTTTTTTGGAAAGAAGAGGAGGATGGGGTCGCTAGACTTTAAGAGGTCATGAAGGGGCGCCTGGGTGGCTCAGTGAGTTAAGCCTCTGCCTTCAGCTCAGGTCATTATCCCAGGGTCCTAGGATCGAGCCCCGCATCGGGCTCTCTGCTCTGCAGGGAGCCTGCCTCCACCTCTCTCTGCCTGCCTCTCTGCCTACTTGTGATCTCTGTCAAATAAATAAATAAAATCTTTTAAAAAAAAAAAGAGGTCATGAATAAAGCAGGAGAGGTAGGACCTGAATCATAAACTTTTGTCGTTAGCTTGGCAGGAGTTGAGGTATAAGGTCCTGGGTCTGCATGGAGGTGGGTTGGTCACAGGGATATAGTGAGGTTAGTACTCCGAAGGGGAGCTGGCATTTGGGCTTGGGTATCAAGAAATCACCGATGTAATTAAGTGGGATAACCATGTTTGTAGTGTGTGTGTGTGTGTGTGTGTGTGTGTTAATTCTTCATAGCTGGGGATACTGAGTTAGATGGTTATTGATCCCCTATCCAATTCCAACATTCCTAGTATTTATGACTTCTCTGGCTCAAATATTAGCAACGGCTATGGAGAGAAGGGTTAGACCCAAAAGCATGGAGCACAGTGCATAGAAAATTTCTCCAAAGCTTGAAAGAAGGCTTTATCAGTATATTTTTGTCTACTCAGGCTGCTATACCAAGCACAGGCTGGGGGGCTTAAATGACAGAAATGTATTTTCTCACAGATCTGGAGGCCAGAAGTCCCAGATCAAGGTGCCAGCAAGGTTGGTTTCCAGTGAGCCTTTTCTTGTTGGCCTGTAGATCGCTATCTTTTCTTTTTTAAGATTTTTTTTTAAATTTATTTGACAGACAGATCACAAGTAGGCAAAGAGGCAGACAGAGAGAGACAGGAGGAGGAGGCAGGCTCCCTGCTGAGCAGAGAGCCCGATGCAGGACTCGATCCAAGGACTCTGAGATCATGACCTGAGCCAAAGGCAGAGGCTTTAACCACTGAGCCACCCAGGCGCCCCGATCGCTATCTTTTCAACTGTGCCCTCAGATGACCTCTTCTTTGTGGGCCCCCAGAGGGGAGGTAGGGAGAGTGCTTTCATGTGTTTCCCCCTTATGAGGACACCAGTCCTAGCAGATTAGGACTCCCGTGACCTCATCAAACCTTCAGTACCTCCTTCTAGGCCCTATCTCCAGAGGCACACTGGAGATTAGGAATTCTATATATGACTTTTGTGGGGACACAATTCAGTCCGTAACAGTCAGTATAGGAGAAAAACCATGGAGTGAATTCTAGAGGAGTCACACAGTGATGTTATAAGGTAAGTGGGTATAAAAGAGCACCTCTGAAGTCCAATAGGACATTAGAGCTAGAGGCCAACAGGAAAGTCCCGTATGTGCCACAGTTTTGAGTTTGACGCAAGCGCAACTCTGAAGGGAAGATATTTGGGAGGCCTTGGCCAACCACTGCTTCCAGCCAGGGGTGATTCTGGAGGGAATATCTCTCAGAGTGCTGCCTAGAATCAAGACTTTGGGGTTGGAAAAGTGCCACTCCCAAAGCTGGAGAAGGATGGTGTTGTAAGTTACTTGAAGAGTACTGTTCTGGGAGATAGGAGATCTGGTGTGTCCTCTTTGTTCTGCTGCTGACCAGATGTGAAAATGCAGATTAACTCCCTAACCGTCTCAGTTCTACCACCATGTGCTGCTGTCACATGTCCCAAGCCCCAGACTTAGTTTTATCCATAACCAGAAGCAGGTCTTTTAGTTCCCAATCTCTTAATCGGGCTGATCGTCACAATATATAGTGGACACGTGACAGCCACTGGGGAGAAGTAAGGGTTCTCTTCCCCTCAGGGAGAGTGGAAAGGCTCTAGGAGAGGGCAGACCCACTAGGCCAAAGGCAGCCAGTGCCTGGGAGTGGAGCCATGGGGAAGAGTGTGCTGATGACAGCCTTGTGGAGGGAGGGCAGAAAGAGCCACCACCATGACACTTGAGTCATAGATCGAGCTTGGGGACAGAGAAGGGGTCAGGACACAATAGAGCAGCAGCTGGCAAAGTGATTCTGTTGAGCTTAAGCTCATAGTGCCTTAGCGAATTAGAATGGGAAATATCTTGCTATTGTCTGTGACTCTGTGATTGTGCGTGTATAAGTGACAGAGTGGGGACAGAGAGAGAGGGAGAGAGAATGCATTAAATTTTAAAGAAGGACAATAAGGGATGCCTAGGTGGCTTACTCAGTTAAGCGTCTACGTTTGGTTCAGGTCATGATCCCAGGGTCCTGGGAATGGATCCCATACCAGGCTCTAGTAGGGGGCCTGCCTTCCCTCTGCCTGCTGCTTCCCTTGCTTGTGATTTATCTCCCTTCCTCTCTAAAAAATAATAGTAAGAAATAAACAAGGGCGATAAGTAATGTTTACTTTTGTTTCTGATGCCAGACAGGTTCAGAGGATTGAAGAGGGAGATCCAAGGAGCTAGCCTCTTAAAAGGAGTGAATACCTAGTCACTGGTAAGACCCCTGGTCCTGCAATACAATATGGCTCCTGTGATCTGGGTCCTGAAAACGCCTCTCACCATCTTTAATCCGATAGTTTGATTCTTCATTGCGCTCAGTGTGGGGAACTGGGAGAAGCTATGGCACTTGGCCCTTTGTGGAGGGAATTTTAGTAGTATAAATACAATAGTTATCAGTTCTGGAGCACTTCCATGACTCTGCTGCAGGCACTGTGCTGTGACCTGGGTTTATAGCAGTGAGATAAACATAGAGATAGATGTGGGCTCTGTTTCCAAGAAGCTGAAACCCACTGTTCTCCTTGTCCCCTTCCCATTCTGTCTTCTCCAGCCCCTGTGCAACCCCACCAAGCAGGGAGCTTGCTTCTCCCCCTCCCTCTGCTGCGCCCCCTGCTTGTGCTCTCTCTCTCTCTGTGTCAAGTAAATAAATAAAGTGTTTTAAAAATTAAAAAAAAAAAAAAAAAGCAAAACAAATAACCCGGTTCTGTAAAGTGATTTTCTGAATGTAGTTATGGGCAGTGCTGGGTACTGAAGAAGACGTTCTGAGGAACAGAGGAGCAGGGAAATTACAGAACAAATTCCACAGGTCATTGACTGTATCACTTTCGTCACCCCACCCATAGCACTCATTAATCTCTAGCCCAGCCAATCTGTTGGTTATAAAAATGAGCTTTCTCCAAATTGACAGACAGCTCTCACTTTAGCAATCTAAATCATTCTGATCTTTATCACTAATGCGATCTAATCCTGTCTAGTAAAGAAAGCTTGAGAGTTCTATAGCTCTGTAAACATTTAAGAAAAACAATGGACTCAATTCTAGTTACTTTTTAACTAACTTGACTTGCCAGGGGAAGGAGAAAGTAAATATCAGAAATCTTATCACTAAGCACAAATTGCAAGTTATACCTGCCAAGATGAGGTTCAAAATATAAATCATCAGTCTCCTTAGAAGCCTTTTACCTTCTTATATCTGTTATGTTGGGTAAATGAGTAGTTACTAGAACACAGCTGGCTCAGTGATCACAATTCAGCTTACCCTCAGAAGTACAAATAAATTACATGTTTAGCCCGGTAACTGTACACTGATAAAGAATTATTCACTGGATGATTCCTAGATCAGAAACCACAAAAATTTTTTCTTTTTTATGGAAGTATGGCTGTTACAATAGTTTCACCTGTACCACATAGTGATTGATTTAACTACTCTATACGTTACAGCTCTAGATGTAACATTTTAATAGAATAACAATATCCTTGATGGTATCATGGAAATGTAAGTGCCTTGTGCACTTTTCTTAATGTGTATAATTACTTAAACATCATAGTAAATGAATCAAGGCCATTGTCAAGCTTCCGTCAAGGAGAGTCCTTAACTAGAGGGATTTCCCATTGCTCTCAGGATGATAACCTCTGAGTGACAGGTTCCATTAGTTGGTCACACACATTTGGAGCCTTGTGGACTTTCTGACAGCTGAGCAGCGTATCTCTGTTTCAAGGATTGTGATCCCTGTTCTTAATGCAAGAGTGACAGTTGTCACTTTTCCTGTTACCCCTGTCTTTAGGAAAGCGTCTGACTCAGAAAGTCGAATCAGTACCCCCCAAAGGGATTTTCAGGAGAACCACCTCAAAGATGATCACCTGAGATATCATCAAGAAAAAAACTGAAATTCTAAGCAACATCCATAATAAGTCTTTTCATGTTGATAAGGAAAGATTTTCCCCTAAATACCAGATAGGCTCCATGAAAGTGAGATCTTTACGTGTTTTGTTCACCCTGTCACCAGTCCCTAGAAGAGCGCCTAAGACATCACTCAAGATTAGGTTGTTTTGAATGAATCGAATGAATGAACTGTGGCCTTTGATAGTGAGGTAGTTTATGGTCCTTAGGCAAGAGATGGGATTTGTGTAGGGATTTCAAGAATGGGAGGAGCCGAAGAGAAAACTGAGAAGCTAAATGTGAAAGTATGCAATTTACTGACTAGAGTAGGTCTGAATACATTTCAAACATAATTAAACTATGGCTGTGGGTCTATACGTTTTTTCATAATTTTCCCTTGAAAATGTGAGGCATACAGATGTCATCTCCAGTGAATTCTCTTTGTTTGTATACAGAATCACCCCCCCCCCAAAGGCATTCTGACTGTCCTCAGCCCATCCACTCCAGGATTGTAACTCCTTCTTCCCCATGTTCTTTCTGAATCATGGACTTTCAGGTTGACCTCTCCCATCTTGGGTCCCATTCTCATTAGCTGTAGAAATCATGTGATGTTTGCGATGTGAGGGTGGCAATACTCTCTGACCTTTGGTTACAATATGTCTTTGAAAGCCAGTGTTTATTCTGCTTTTACAGCATTTCTCCATTTGAACTGGCCACCTTTTAAGTGGTCATTAGCCACATGTGGCTGCTAGCCATGGGACTTGGGCAGCAGAGGTGTGGAAAGTCCGCACATTCTTCCACTCAAAGGATATTGTGGGTTATGCTACATCTTTTTTTTAAGTGTCTTTTTTAGGTATTTAAATTCAATTAGCCATTAGATAGTATATCACTGGTTTCAGACAGACTTTAGTAACTCATCAGTTGTGGATAACGCCTGGTGCTCATCACATCATGTGTCCTCCTTAATGCCCATCATCCAGTTATTCCATGTCTCCCACTCCCCTCCCCTCCCCAGCAACCCTCAGTTTGTTTCCTATAGTTAAAGGTGCCTCATGGTTTGACTCCCTCTCTGATGACTCCCATTCAGTTTTCCCTCCCTTCCCTCTGATCCTCTACACTACATCTTAATCTCAACAGTGAAGTCAAACAGTGGTAGTAACTCGGTCATGGAGTCATGTATATTCTAAATCTGATGAGGCGGATTCCTGTACTGCCTTTGTCTCTGCTAGAGAGCTTACATTTGTTATTATTATTGCTGCTGTTTTCATGTTTCTTGTTCACTGAATGTCTGATAAAAGAATTAGTAAAATGTGTGACTGCAGAAAATACAATGAGTCATGGATGATGAAGACTTTCTCCTTGACCAGACTTGAGTCAGGTTCTTCTGAGTCCTCTTTCTGTCCAGGCCTTGACCTCAGGCTCTGCCCACGTAGCCCAGTTTTAGCAAGAAACCTGCTTAGTCAATTTTTCAGCAATATCCTATCCTACTCTTGATATCTGATCAAATTCCTTATCTCTCACCCCTGGTAGCTTACCACTCTTTTTTTTTTTTTTAAGATTTATTTATTTTTTTTCAAGATTTTATTTATTTATTTGACAGAGATCACAAGTAGGCAGAGAGGCAGAAGAGAGAGAGGAGGAAGCAGGCTCCCTGCTGAGCAGAGAGCCTGATGCGGGGCTCGATCCCAGGACCCTGGGATCCTGACCTGAGCCGAAGGTAGAGGCTTTAACCCACTGAGCCACCCAGGCGCCCCAGATTTATTTATTTTGACAGAGAGAGGGAGCATGAGCAGGGGGAGTAGCAGAGGGACAGAGAGAACCACACTCCCCACTGAGCAGGAAGCCCAATGCCAGGCTTGATCCTGGGATCAGATCATGACCTGAGCCAAAGCCAGAGAGTTAACCAACTGAGCCACCCAGGTGCTTCAGTATCTTACAATGCTTAATATCTGATCAAATCCCTTATTCCCAGGGCACCTGGTTGGTGCAGTTGGTTGAACGTTTGACTCTTGGTTTCTGCTCCAGTCATGATATCATGGTCCTGAGATCAAGCCTCACATCAGGCTCTATGCTCAGTGAAGAGTATGCTTAAAATTCTCTTTCCCTACCCCTGCTCCCTCTCTCTAAAATATATTAATAAATCTTTTAAAAAATTCCTTATCCCCTGCTCTCAATATTTTATGACCCTATCCTTCCTTCAACAATATTACTGTCCATATGGTTTAGCCAGAATCCCTTCATCCTTACCCTTGATGTTCCATCTTAATTTTACATTCAGTGACCCCCACCATGCTCTTTAGCTATAAATCTCCATTTGTCTGAGCTGAGCCAGATCTCTCTCCCATACTATAAAATAAAATCCCATCGTAGTAGCATCCCTTGAATAAAATCTTCCTTACTGTCTTTAACGGGTGTCACAAATTTATTTTTAACGGTCAAGAGGGTGCTAATGGAGTACCATGACAAAAGGCCTAATTTCCTATAATGGACATTTTTTGGGTTTACCTGACAAATACTCTTTTCCTCTTCTAAGAAAAATTTCCAGTTCTTAGTATAACTGCCAACTGGCCCAGGGGTGGACAAGTGAGTCAGATGAGACCAAAATGAAAATTCTGTTGAGACACTGGGCCTTGAGGATTCAAGCCAAGGACGAAAAAGTGTTGGTACTCCATTATTCTGATGGTCCATTAATTTTTGCTTTTTTGGTTCCTGTGTCTATCACAGTCCCTGCCTTTTTGAAGATAATGACCACTCATCTGAGTACACAGTTCGCAGAATGCCTTTGCAGTGGCCCATGTGAGCCAAGGTAGTAGAGCATAATAGATCTCTGTACGTTTTTAAAAAATGCCTTTGTCCCTGTTGCCCATGGCCATTAAAAACAAAAGGTTGGGGTAGGGGGATATTGGAAAAGGTGACGTTATAGCTACTCACTGATCTTGTGATTGGTAGAGAGAAAGCAACACCTACATACAGGGCCAGTGGGTGAGTGGAGGAAACATCCTTGGCTCTAGGAGGAATGGGGGAAGGAGAAATATTAATAATCTTTGTCTTTGGAACTGCCCCTGAAGACTTCCCCACACAGGAAAATGACCTAATGTGACTCTCCTAAACTTTGGCAAGCCCCTTAAATTTAACTGACTGCTAGATCTGATACTCCCTGCTAGATAGCTCTGATCATGATTTGATTGTTACTTAATTTTTAAATTATTTTAAAATAAATTTTTAATTTAAATACAATTAATTAACATATAATACTAGTTTCAGACATACAGGTTAGTGATTCATCAGTCTTTTATAACACCCAGTGCTCATTGTATCACATGCCCTCCTTAATGTCCATCACCCAGTTACCCCATCCACCCATCCCCCTCCCCTCCAAGAATCCTCAGTTTGTTTCCTATGATTAAGAGTCTCTTCTGAGGGGCACCTGGGTGGCTCAGTGGGTTAAAGCCTCTGCCTTCAGCTCAGGTCATGATCTCAGGGTCCTGGGTTCGAGCCCTGAATCGGGCTCTCTGCTCAGTGGCGAGCCTGCTTCCTCCTCTCTCTCTCTTCCTGCCTCTCTGCCTACTTGTGATCTCTGTTTGTCAAATAAGTAAATAAAAATCTTTAAAAAAAAAGTCTCTTCTGGTTTGTCTCCCTCTTTGATTTCATCTTGTTTTATTTTTTTCCTTTCTTCCCCTATGATTCTCTGTTTTGTTTCTTAAACTCCACATAGGAGTGAGATCATATGATAATTGTCTTTCTCTGACTGACTTATTTCCCTTGGTGTAATACCCTCTACTTCCATCCAAGTTGTTGCAAATAATTGCCATTTATTTTAACTCAACAGAGAAGGCCACTAGAAACAGCAGGTGATGGCCCCAGCTCCTGTCCCTTCATGCAGAACATCTGTCAACACCTATGGACATCTTTTCTTCCCCATTCCTATGAATGTTGCTCAGTTGTTACATGGCGTGGACAAATGCTGCTGGCCGGTGGCATGGACACACTGGACAAGCTTGGCCTTTGGTAAAACAAAGACTAGATTCAATTCCTCAAACTGAAACGGGAATGCTTGGATGAACAAGCCTGCCAGGAAGTCCCATTGGAGGTACTCAACCTGTGCCCCTTCCCTCTTTGGACCAAGAGCCTGAACCTGAGAGATGAAAGGCTTATCCAAGGTTATGGCAAGGTTATGCAGAGCTGAAACTAGACACAGGTGTACATGCTTATTGGTTAAGGCTGGCTGTGAAGTTGAACTGCCTCAAATCTTGATTCTCTTCACCACTTCTTATTCTCTGACCCTGTTTTTCATAGTTTAGGACGTAGGGATAATAACAATATCAGCTAATGGGGTATCCTGACTTTTTGATATTTTGGTTCTTGTCAGACATTTACCATAATGCATAGCACATGGATGTGTGGGTGCACACACATGCACACGCTTGACACTCGAAAAATTGTTCCCTGATATTAACTTTATCAGTGCACTTTGCATCCAGCACCAATTGGCTGTTTTGTCACAAACTGATTAAAGCAGAACTGTCAAGTGAGGAACTTCAAAGCCAAAGCATTAAGTGCTGTGAGAAACCAGCACCTGGGAGGTTTTGTCTCAGCATCTGTGATTAGAAGGCAGCAAAAAGAGACTTTGGGGACACAGTTCACCCCTTCATGAAGCAGCCATTCAGAACTTTCTCAGAAGGGCTAATGCCTAATCTTCCAAAGACCAGCAAGAACAAGCTTATGGCCTGTTAAAATCAGATTTTTAAAAGATTTTTATTTATTTGAGAGAGAGAGAGAGAGTGAGAGAGAGAGCATGAGAGGGGAGAAGGTCAGAGGGAGAAGTGGACTCTCCATGAAGCTGGGAGCCCGATGAGGGACTCGATCCCGGGACTCCAGTATCAAAATCAGATTTATTGATTCAATACAGTCAGGGAGGACATTCCTCAGGAGTCATAGAATGCTGGTTGCCATGAGGGAGGAGGGAAGCATCTTTTACAAAGTCTGGGCTCTCACAGAAGGAGTCTAAAGCAGGTGTATGGAAAGCAGAGGTCAGTTCTGGATTAGAAGCTCTTTCGGAGGGGAAATGAGTAGAAGCAGGGATTAACCAGGACTTGGGTTCTGCCTTATTCAGTTCAGGTTGCTGCAACAAATGATCACAGACTCGGTGGCTGAAACAGCAAAACATTTACTATTCCTTGCAGTTCTAGAGGCTGAGAAGACCAAAAGCAAGGTCCTGGGAGATCTGATATCTAGCAAGAGCCTGCTTCATTATCTGTAGATGCCCATATTCCTGTTGTAGCCTTGCATGGCTGACAGCTGGCAGAACAATCTCTCAGGTCTTTTCTCAGAAGTGCTTTTATCTCATTCACAAGGGTTCCAATCTCATGACCTCATCACCTCTCAAAGCCTACACCTCCTGATGACACTCCTTGAGGGTTAGGACTTCAACATCTGAATTGGGGCAAGACACAAACATTCAGTCCATTAACAAGTGTTGTCATGAGGACAGTGTAGCTTAGCAACTGGGTATCCCCAGGAATCCATGGGACTAGCAAAGCAGAATCTGGGGGCATCACTGGTAGGAAAGCAGGAGTTCCCCAAGACAGAGTCCTCATAGCATTTTAACAGAGACAGCATCCTTGAGAAACAATAGTTTCCATGACTCATACAGCAGCCTTTATCTATGCCTGTCCTCCCCGCTGGATTCACAGCAAGCCTGCTTCTTTCTTTTCCAGTACAAATGGATTTCCACTCTCTGAATCCTGATGAATTTTTGCTCTTTTGCAGTTAGTAGGTTGTCCCTCAGGATTCTGGATGTCTAGATTTGCAATCGTGGAAACTGCCAAAGGTCCAGGGTCCTGGGTGGCAGAACCTGGCCTCTGCCACTATTGCCCAAGGTAGGGACTCCAGTCCCTTGAGCGTCTTGCTGCTGTCAAAGGTTTGTGTGCATTGGCTTGTTGTTTTTTAAAAAAATGTATTTGCTTATACATGTGTTTGGTCATGCTCAAGTGGCCTTTCTGTGGAAACAGTGGCCAGGGTACACCTAGAAGTCATTGAAGAAAGTTCTAAGAACTCTTGGTTGGTGTGAGGCTAGAGAGAGAGAGAGAAAAAGAGAAAAGAAATCTGCCTCTCTGCATTTTGCAAGTCTCTGGGCAAAATGTGTGGGCTGTGCACTCCCCACACGGAGATTCCAGGCAGGGAGGCCCTCCTGAGCCTCATCTCCCTGGGCTTCTCCTCCAGGAGCAATCCCTAGTTTGAGACCAGGGTTAGGGAAGGAAGAGCAGCAAAGCAGGGTCCAGAAGGAAGGACTACCACAGACCACGGGGCACCAGAAGGCCAGGCTGGTACCTGCTCACTGTTGGGGTACAAATGGGTTCAGCTCAGCAGGTGCAGAGGTGCCCTAGGCCCCTCTGGTGGGCTTTGCAGTGCCCCAAACTCAGGAAGAAAAAAGGCTGGCTCAGGTGACTTATTTTTGGCTGGGAAGGAGCTGACGGCACTGGAAATAAATGAGTAGGGAATGATGTTGGAAAGTTGGAGGGTTTGTCCTTTATATCTCAGCTTTCTCTCCTATCTTCCCTTGCTCTGTATTGTGTTCTCAAAGAAGTTTTCGGCATGATATTCCTGTTCACTGGTTTACTCCTGAGCTGTATCTTTTCTGCTGTTCAGCCCATCTGGTGAATTATTTTACTGTAAAAAGTATCTTGCCCTTGCAAGGTCTTGTCTCACCCTCTCCCCGGGGAGCCTTGGGGAATCCCAGAGAACTCAGCTTGCCACCCAGAAGGAAACCAGGATTCAGAGTAGAGGAAATCTGCTTGGACATCTGAGACCACCCCCACATTCAGCGGTCCCCTGGACACAAACCCAGACCTTCATACTGATCCTGAACCATGCTCTCAACTCAGACCCTGTGATCCTTACCACAGTGCTTTCAGATCAGTGCAGCCATGCCCATAGGCACAAACTCTAAGCCTAGATTCTGTCTTGAGAGGTCTGTCCCCAGTGGCCTGGCTCCAAAGCCCCAGAGATTGGGGACAGTGAGGAACACCATAGGACTCACCCTGCCACCCCCCCCCCAAAAAAAAACATGCCATGTAGAACTCCAGAAAGGATTCAGAGGAACTGAAATCTGCATTCCCACCTCTGGACACCCCCATATTCAGCAGGACCCTGGATGCAAACCTGGAGCTTGACACTCACCCTGAACCAATCCCTCAACTCCAACCCAAGATAGATGGACAAAGTGCTGGCAGATCGGGCCTGCCATGTGGTGGGCCCTAACCATAACCTTTGGTTTGGTTTTCAGGGTTCTGACCCCAGAGGCCTTGCAGTAGAAGCCTTACAATTTGGGGACACCCGGGCAATACCAGAGGACTCAGCCTGCCGCCCAGAAGGAAACCATGCCATGTAGAACTCCAGAAAGGATGAACAGCAGAAAAAATCTGCATGTGCACCTGAGGCCATGCCCACAGTGAGTGGACCTCTGTCCAAAAAATCCAGAGCCAGGCACTCACCCTGACGCACATCCTCAGCTCAGCAGTCCGGGAAGCTCTCTCTCCACAGAGCCTTCAGATGGGTCCTCCCATGCCCCTAGGCCCCAACACTAAGCCATGGTTGGGTTCTGATAGGTCCATTCCCAGGGGCCTGTCCTCAGAGCACAAGGGATAGGGGACACCTGAGCAATCCCAGAGGACTCAGCCTGCCACCCAGAAGGAAATTGTGCCATTTGGAACTCCGGAAAGGATTCAGAGGAGCAGAAATCTGCATGCCCAGCTGAGGACACACCCACACTGAGCTGACCCCTGGACACAAAGCCAGAGCCAGACACTCACCCTCACCTACACTGTCAACTCAGCCACCCAGACAGCTCTCCATGGGGTCTTCAGGTCAGTCCTGCCATGTCCCTAGTCCCTAACACTAACCCTTGGATGGGTTCTGTAATGATCTCCTCATTTCAGTTATGGGGTGGTTCTGCAGGACATTATCCTGCTGTGGGGTCAAACACACTGAAGCATCCCATGTGAAGTGGCAAACGTGGTAAATGATGGTTGGGGAATCCGAGTGTGGAGACAGCACGTATTTGTGCTGCTATAAACAAGCTAACTGCACTTTGAAATCACCGCAGAGGAAATGACTCTTCCAAACATCCATGTTAGCACGATGACACAGAAGCAGAGAGGATATCAGACTTTGGGATGGAGGCCAAGCCCTCCCAGATCCAGGTCACCCAACGTGGAGAGGCCACATGTTAGCAAGAGACTCGTGAGGATTAAATCATGGGCCCCCGTGTCTTGGGTGCAGTAGAAGCAGTGGATTTGGAATTCCAGTTTTCCACAACGCTCCACCACAAGTTGGTTAGAACTGTGCAAAAGCAGGAAGGGAAGCCCCAGTAAAGTGGACTGGGGACGCCAGAAGGGAAGGCTGGAAGGGGGCGCCTGGTGCTCAGTGCCCATTACAGACCCCACATTGCAATCCCCTACAGGAGAGACTCACCAATTCCAGGCCCCACAGGGGAAGCTGGAGGTTCATCTCCTGACTTTTTGTAGGAGCCTGCAGCTCAGCTGGTGAGAATTCTCCATCACCCCAAACCCCTGCCTTTCTCCAGGGGACTTTCCTTCCAAGCACCCCTCCCAACTTCTTCCTCCTCCACGAAATAATGTTCCTCTCCTTTGTTTCTCGCACTTGCCTGTGATGGGACCGTAGCTTGCTCAGCCCAGACTGTCATTCTCTGCTCTTTCCAAATAAACCCACGCTGCTGGTCAAATAACTGGCAGTTTGAGTTTTAGGCAAATCGAACTAATAAATTCAAGAAACTTGCAAGGAACAAAATCAATATGCACAAATCAGTGGCATTTCTACGTGCTCGGAAGGAACCATCAGAAAGAGACAACAGAGAAAAATCTCATTTACACCTGCATCCAAAAGAAAAATCTCATTTACACCTTTATGGAGTCCCCTGAACCAAGGAGGTGACAGACCTGTCCTCTGACAGCCCTGCAACAATGACGACAGACAAGGAGGGAGACACACGGAGATGGGGAGGCACTGTGCTCAGGAAAGAACCCACACTGGGAAAATACCTACTCTCCAAAACTGTCTACAGAGTCCGCGCTGTGGCTCCTGAACTTCTGGACTCCGGGCCAGCCCGGAGTGGGCGTGGACTTGGTAGGAGGCCACAGGGCCGAGGTGGGGGGAGCACAAGGCCCGAGGCAGGCGGACGCTCCCTGACTGCAGACCATCTGAGGAGCCCCAGGAACCAAATCCGCGAGCACACAAACACAGATGGAGGACCGAGGAGCATCCGAGCCCAGAAAGGGGGGACCCCACAGCCCCGCGCACAGCACAGCAGGACGCCACGTCACCGCACACAAAACGACAGAAGCCCCAGTGTCTACACAG